TCGTAACCGTAAGTTCTTCGATAAACGACGACGATGTCCTGCGGTGGATGACAGCTTGGAAAAGGTTGAAGAAGAGGGCGATAGGAGGGGGAGGAGGAGGAGGAGGAGGAGGAGAAGAATGTACGGAGTTAAAAAAGATGAGAACGATCGAGAACGATCGGACAATGTTGGTTCGCAAACAGCACCGCCTTGGTTGGTTAGAGCAGAAGTTACAATTCGTCATGGTGGTGCACAAACCATTTCGGATTCTGGACAATCGCCGGCAGGCACCTCGTCAGCAACAATGACTGATTCCAACGGTGTACGAATGATATATCGTTGGAATACTAGCCAACCGAGTTCTAATATTCCATCAACTACATCCGCATCGACTACTCAATCGATGGGTGGTATTATACCACCAAATTCTTATGGTTTTCAACGTGGTAATATATTGTTCACATCGACACCACCGCCAAGAGGTCAACAATCTGGTAATTCGTTTACAATTCCGCGCCCAGGATCTTCAAGTAAGGATGACACGTGCCCGTTAAGAAATCGTGGATTCATCGATTCAGGATATAACAGCGAACAATTCTCACCCCATTCATATTCGAGTTTACCATCGCGCCGTACTTATCAACAATACAATCGACGTTGCAAAAGTACTTGTAACATCGTTCTCGCTGCTTTTGATCCAAAGAAGAATCTAAGTAACGATGAACCTACAACTACGAAATTGTTAACGAAAGAATCATTGAAATCTTCCACGTTAGAAGAGCCAGATCGATCATCCTGGCATTATCATCGAACGACATCGTCCAATAATAACCATCATCTTCATCATCATCATCATCATCATTTACAACAGCAGCAACAACTTCAGCAACAACAACAACAACAGCAACAACAACAACAACAACAACAACAACAACAACAACAGCATGTCTCCGCTCGTTCACGTTTCAGTACCGTGCCTGAAGTATGCGAAGATTGTTCCGAAGGTACTGCCAGTCCATTTACGACACATTTCTGTACTCGTGTGTTAGAGAAAACAGCAAGCAAAGTTACGACCATTAGCAAGGATGCTTCTTCTCAAACGACCGATATTGAATCTCGAACTTCGACCATATCGACTACATCGAAAACAGGAAAAGTAAGACGGAAGGCATTAGATATACAATTGGCTGACGAACAAAAGAGGAAAAAGGTAGATACATACATACATACATATATAGATACATATACACATACATACATTTATACATACACACACACATACAAACATATATATATATATATATATATATATATATATATATATAATAAAAAAGATCGTACGTAATTAATATTTAATATATAAATAAAATTTCGTTAAGAATTTGTAATCGTACGATATATTTAAAATTTTAGCAAGAGAACTCAACTGTTGGTACGCCGATTGATACTTCGGGACAACTTTCAACGACTACGGATACTGAAAAATCCTTTTCATCTGCCATAGAGGAGAACGCAAAACGTAAATCTCGTACCGTTCACATAGACGTTTATTGCACTGGCTCGGACGATGAATGTAGTACCGATTCAACCGAGGAGGAACGTTCGACAACGGCTATGACCGTCTTCGAGAACGAGGACGTTAAAGTGACGCATAGCCAAGCCGAGGATAACGATTTACCACGTGGATTTAAAGATAATAAAGCTTTTTTAGCGCGAACTGCCGAGAGACGTTGTGAAAGTTTCAAAAATGCACCAATGAGAATGCCTTCGTTGGCCAGCTCGAAGGGTTACGAAAGCGACGATCTATTGAGTTCCCTCTATCCCTCGCAATTTAGTTCTTACAGCGCTCTTAAAGATTTAGATTCTACGCCATGGTCAGCGGCATCGTCGACTTTGGCATTACCATTTATTGACGATTATGACTCAGCTGCTGCGACATCCTCGAAGGATACATTTTCCGATATAGATTCTATCGTAAATGGTAGTAAACCGACCTTGACGTCCTGCGATAGCTTCGAATATGCTAATTTGTCCGATCGCGAGAGAATAAGAAAAATGGATACAATTTGGGGAGGTAAAAATGATTTAACAGAAGAAAAGAAGGATAAAAATTGGAGATCACCTCATATAGAACGTAAGCATTTATTGAGGAACAAAAAGATGAGGGAATATTTGGAGAAACATGAAATCGGTTGGTCATCCGACGATACCGCGGGTGGTGAATCGGACGACAGTGGTACCATTGGTTGGATCTTTTTATCTAATAAGGATGATAATACTAATGAGGGATTATCCGAAACTAAAGTTGATAAGGATATCGTACGTCGTGATAGTACGATTAAGAGGGAAATAATAAATGATAACGTTCTATCGTCTAACGTTGTAAATCGTTCAGAATTAATACGTTCCGATCTTCTTATTCAAGACGATCATTCCGATTCGACAACGAGAAGCGATCTATGCTCACGAATTTATACATTAAGAGAACAGATTGGTCTGTTTGGTTCGAAAAGTCCTTCGCCGCTTCCTTCGAAAGTACCTTCCAGGGTTACTTCACCCTTTATGACATCCCATGGCGAAAGGACCGATCATATCGTTAAAGCATCGATATTTGGTTCGGTTGTTGGTGCCTTTCGAAAACCTGGCCATCATATTGGCCCCGTTAAAAATCCGTCCTGTTCTTGCGAACACTGCAGGCGATACTTCGAGGAAGACGACTCACGTGAACGATCGTGTTCCTTCGGTGAATTCGAAAAACGTTCAACAAGTTCAACCAACACCGAACAGAGAAATATTATTCGACCAGCTCCTACGAGTTATGGACATTGATTCTATGTTCTTTTTTTGTTATTTTTTTTTAATTTTCTTTTTCTTCCACTTTTCTTTTTATTTATTTATTTATTTATTGATTTATCTCTTTTTTCTTTCTTTCCGAGCAACGCTTCATTCGAATAATTTTCATTATTTTATATTGGACTTTCGTAGCTCTATGAATGACTGCGAAATTTTTACTTTTGCACGCTTATTATTATTATTATTATTATTATTATTATTATTATTATTATTATTATTATTATTATTATTATTATTATTATTATTATTATTGTTATTAATATTATTGTTATTATTATTATTATTATTATTATTATTATTATTATTACTATTATTATTATTATTATTATTATTATTATTATTATTATTATTATTATTATTATTAGATTTATCAATGAATTTTATAATATATATATATATATGTATGTATATACATGCCTCGTCCTTGTCATCACTTATTATCATATGTGTGTTCCAAATACGTCGTCGCAACGAGGACATAGTTTTCTAATTATCTCTCTAGTTGATGCTATTGTATCGTTAAAGGCTGTCGAACATTCTGCTGATTATAAAGCATTTACATAAGTTAACAATCGTGTAACGTCGATCGTTCTATTAATAAATGTTAACTGTATTGTTGTGTCGATCGTTACTACATACGAACATTGTTTTTATGTGCATATGCATTTCGATGAATTATTTTTTAACGCGTATCATCAATTATCCTTTTCTTTCTTCCCTGTCTATCTATCTATCTATCTATCTATCTATCTATCTATCTATCAATCTATCTATCTATCTATCTATCTATCTATCTATCTATCTTTCTATCTTTCTATAGTTTGTTTCCTCGATTGAAAGATTTAATCGATTAAAAGTGTCCTGTGTGTTCGAATTATCCTAGGCACAGGCAAGTCTCGCGGAATCCAGTAGAAAATTGGACTTACTTAGATTATCTCTTGAGCTTAGAAGACAAGAATTACCACCAGACAGTGGTACTGCTGCCCAATTAAAGAGAGAACTAGCAAGTGTACAATCGGCAAGTCCTGTTCCTGTAACTTATACATCGTTACAACCATTTCGTGGCCCATTGGAAGGTAGGGCTACGGTACCTGCATCAGTTTCTAGATGTGCTGCAGTCACTGGACAATTGGAGGTAAACAATTTCAATAATCAGAATTATTACAGTTATTCTGATATATTAATACATTGTTGACTGGTCATGTTTATACTCCTTTTCCTTTTTTTATTTGCACATGCATGCAACATATACTATTATTTATAAGTATACAAATTGTACAAGTCATTTTTTTTGTGTTAGATATTATATATATATATATATATATATATATATATATATATATATCACCAATTCTTTGGAATTTGTAATATTTTAATAACGATATTAATTTAATTATGAATATAGCTGGCGAAATGCATTAAATTTTTACATATAATAGACGGTCAACAATGTTTTAAGATATACCTCTTATATATCTCAGAAAATACAGCAGGGAAAATTTAAAATAGACATTCTTATAAAAATAGTGATTTTAACTGGTTGGTAAGTTTGGTTTCAACATTTGTTAAAATAATCTACTTATCAAAATAATTATATTAATAAATCTCTATATGTATTTATAGGTAAGATTAATGGGATGCCAAGATTTAGCGGAAGAAGTTCCTGGACGTACGAGAAGAGAACATCCTGCCAGTCCTGATTTACGCAGCTTCGTTAAAGGAGTAACAGGACGCAGTTCGAGTAAATCTTATAGCGTGAAAGACGAAACGAGTAGTAAGTTCAAATACATATTTGATTTTATTTATATGATCACTTTGTATTAATTGATCATTACTAATATTCCTAATATTGTGTGTTGCAGATGATATTATGGCGGTTATAAAATTGGATAATCAAACCGTAGCACAAACTAGTTGGCGACCTTGTTCCCAACAGGCTTGGGACCAAAGGTATACATACTATTATATAATCAAAAGAAAATATTCACCTTTGATATTTGACGTAAGATTTAAAATGTTATTTTATTTACAGATTTTCTATCGAACTAGATAAATCAAGAGAACTTGAAATAGGCATTTATTGGAAAGATTGGAGATCATTGTGTGCAGTGAAATTTTTACGCCTAGAAGAATTTATCGACGATGTGAGACACGGAATGGCACTTCAGTTGGAACCCCAAGGATTATTGTTTGCTGAAATTAAATTTTTAAATCCGATGATATCAAGAAAACCAAAATTGCAACGTCAACGTAAAATATTTAAACAGCAAGTAAAGAATTTCCCGCGGGCTAATCAAATGAACATTAATGTTGCTACTTGGGGTAGACTTCTTAAACGTTCTGCACCCTCTTTACATAATACAAGAAATTCTGAAAGTCCACCGTCGGGTATGTCTTTGAAATTTTCAATATTATTATGACGTAAAAGCTTACGATGTGAAAATTAAAAATTACAATTTGTTTGTCAATTTAGGACCACAACCGTTACAAATTGTTTTTGATACCTCAATAGAAGATAAGCCCGAAACACCTGGAGAATTACCAGATCCAGAAAAAGGAGGCTTAGGTGGTGCTCGACCATTAGGAATGGCAACTTCAACTAGTAGTCCAGTTTTACCACGTCCACCTGAACATCCACCTCCACCACCGCCAACGATTACTAAGAAACCTTCATTGCCAGCACCTCCACCACCACCAAAATTAGATCAGGAGGTGAATTATATTCATTTAAAAAAAAAGGATATATATTTTTAAATTATTTATAATATAAATATTATCGTTGCTGCTTATTTCTTATTTCTTTTTATTATTTTTTTTTTATTTTTTATTTTTATTTTTATTATTATTATTATTATTATTATTATTATTATTATTATTATTATTATTATTATTTATTTATTTATTTTTTTTTTTTTTTTATATAAATATTTCAGTAGCTGCTAATTAATTTAGGCTAGAATAATAATCGAAACTATTATTAGCTTCGCTTATAATTTATTTTAGAATATATTTTATACCGTCTTGGTTTTAAATGCTGCAAAAAGAAATATATATATATATAGAGAGAGAGTTTCATATTTTCTATAGAAAGTAGTAGGTTATTGGTTTGGGATATTGGTTGTGGGTTTAGATTTTTATGAAAAGAAGTATATATAATAGGATTACTTGATTTTAACTTAATTATAGTTTAATATATTTGTATATAAGAGCACACATATTTTGATAAAGCATGTTCTTATGAAAACGTTAAACACACTCTTTATCATATTTATCAAATTTATTGATACAAAATTTTTTATTATTTATATGCTTCTTATTCAAAAACTAAGGACATTGTACATTCAAATATTTTGTTTATTTTCGTGACAATTTACAATTGTATTTTTATGTAATATCTGATTTCTTTTTTTTTTCTTTTTTTCTTTTTTTTTTTTTCTTCTTTTGATATTTATTTTTAGCTTTACGTAATATTTTGGTGATATTGCTTTGTGTAAAGTCATGAAAAAAGTCAATTGTTAATTATTTTTGTTTTGTTAAGTACAACGGGACAAAGATCATTGGATTTATATTTCAAATATGTGTTTCGTCTAAGGCAAAAGATCTGCAGCTTGAAAGTTTCCAAATATTTCATATATATCACGTCATTATATTATTCATATAATCTCTATAATGTAGTATTCTTGATTTAAAGCACCTAGCAATATTTAAATTGGCTTTTAGAGTTAAGCAGGTAGTAATGTAGTTACAGAGTGCATTAAGGGAGTTTGATTTCCTGCACAACGAGGAGAAAGGGGGGTCTCAGGGTGCAAATTTGAGGCCCCTTGTGACAGAGCCCCGTCCTGTGCTGATTGCACCACCCTCTCCACGCACACCCTCGCCCCAACCCGTGGTCGAGTTTCCTGAAGATGAGGTATATACCTCTAGTATGCAACATTACTTTACATCTAAAACTTCAATATTTTCATATTAATACGATCATATCATCTATAATAATTGGTTGAATTTCATGTTGCAATCATAATGATTTTTAAGCGAAAAAAAAAAAACAATGATTTTCTAAAGTATCTTTTCAAATCGTTGCAAGACTAACGATGATTTCATAACAAGCATTCTTTTAATTCGTTTATTGCATTTGTTTATCGCACGTGAATATCATGATTTATAGAAGGAAAAAAAAATATCAATTCAATACCCAATAATTCCCTATACCTGCTCACAAGTATACTTTTAATTTATGCATGATTAATTTGCATGCTCAATTAACGCTACCTATTATTTCTTTTATTATTCATATATTTTTTATTTTCATTATATCATCATCACATTATATTATAACATAATCAAGATTTATTTCGGCAGTGTCTAATTTTTGTTACATGAGAATGTATATGTATATGTATATGTATATGTATATGTATATGTATATGTATATGTATATGTATATGTATATGTATATGTATATGTATATACATTATCGTTAATTTATATGTAAACAACATTGCATATTATGTAATATAGCTTGACATGCTTAAATTTGTTATACTTAACGTATTATCAATATTCATCATATTTTTACATATTTTGAATTAATCAAAAAAAACAAAACAAAAATGACAATGTAAATAACATACATATTATATCTAATAACATCAAAATCACATTAATCGATAAGTTGTATCATTAATGTAAGAGTTTATTATTAATTTGTATTAATTTTGTGTTATAAATAATAGAAGATAAAGGTGAAATGTTACGTTTAACAAGAGTTTCATTAAAATTTATGGGATTACAGGTCGTCTACGAACTACCAGTTAGGCCTCTACAATATAGAGATAGTGCATATGAATCTAGAAGACATTCTCAGCTCACTGGCATGACATTGGACAACTTTAGATTACTTTCTGTTCTTGGTCGAGGTCATTTTGGAAAAGTTATCTTATCGCAATACAGGAATACAGGAGAATATTTTGCTATTAAGGCATTAAAGAAAGGTGATATTATAGCAAGAGACGAAGTGGAATCATTGCTTTCTGAAAAGAGAATATTCGAGGTTGCAAATGCTACGCGTCATCCATTCCTGGTTAATTTGTTTGCTTGTTTCCAAACTGAGGTATGTATTTTTATTTTTTTTTTTTTTTTTATTTTATTTTATTTTTTTCTTTCTTTCTTTTTTTTTTCAATATTATCTCATATCCTTATAATTGTCAAATCTATAAAAAATAACTTCTATTCCATAGGCGCACGTCTGTTTTGTAATGGAGTATGCAGCAGGTGGTGATCTTATGATGCATATACATGCAGATGTTTTTGGTGAACCACGTGCTGTATTTTATTCGGCTTGCGTTGTTTTAGGATTGCAATATTTACATGAAAGTCGAATCATATATAGGTAAATTAACAAAACAATATTCTTATTTATTAGCATGATAAAATTATTTGAATAGTTAATAAACAAATGAATCACATTTTCAGAGATTTGAAATTAGATAATTTGTTGTTGGATACGGAAGGATACGTTAAAATAGCAGATTTTGGATTATGTAAAGAAGGTATGGGTTATGGTGATAGAACTGGGACTTTTTGTGGAACTCCAGAATTTTTAGCACCAGAAGTTCTCACAGAGACTTCGTATACACGAGCTGTAGATTGGTGGGGTCTTGGTGTACTTATATTTGAGATGCTTGTTGGAGAGGTATATTACAATAAATAAATTCCGACATTTAATAGGTTGTTCGGAAAGTAATTTCGTTTTTTTTTTTCTTTTTTTTTTTTTTTTTTTTTTTTTTCTTTGTGAAAATAAAAGACAATTTTCGTATAATGAACAAATATTTTATTAAATTATATATTGGCCATTCTGGTCCAATACCTTTTGCCATCTTTTTGGTAGTGGCATGATTTCATGCTCATAAAATTTTTGGTCTTTGCTGGCAAAAAACCGATCGAGGTAGTTTTTGACCTCCTCATTTGAGTTGAAGGTTTTACCGTCTAATAAATTTTGCAGTGATCGGAACAAATAATAATCCGAAGGTGCTAGATCTGAAGAATATGGTGGGTGTGATATTGTATCCCATTCAAGCTGTAAAAGTTTTTGCCGAGTGACCAAATTTGTATGAGGTCTCGCATTATCTTGAAGGAACAGTACCACCTTTTCTGTTGATTAATTCTGGCCTTTTCTGTTGAAGTGCATCATTCATTTTGTCTGATACTGATAACTGTAGACTTCCGAATTAATTGTTGTGTTATCCGGTAAAATCTCAAAAAAAAAAAAGATTCCTTTAAAATCCCACCAAACAGGCAGCATCATCTTTTTTTTTTTTGATGGATATTGGCTTTGGAAATGCTTTGAGCCGGTTCATCTTTTTTGCTCGATGATCTCTTGCGTTTGACATTGTTATATACAATCTATTTTTCATCCCCAGTAATGATGCGCTTCAAAAATGAATCATTTTCGTGACGTTTGAGAAGCGAATCATAGACGTCAACGCGACGACACAAATTTCTCTCCGTGAAAACATAGGGAATCCATATATCGAGCTTCGCGGTTAAACCCAGACCTTTCAAGTGGTCATAAACAGTTGAATTTGATAAATTCAATCTCTCACTGATCTCACGTGTTGTTATTCGCCGGTTTGCATCAACTAATGCCTTTATCGTGTCTTTATCAGCTTCAACCGGCCTTCCAGAACGTGATGCATCTTCGACATCAAAATTGTCGGATCGAAATTTTGCAAATCAGTTCTGGCACTGGCGTACTGTCAACGGATCTTCTCCATACACATTGGTTAATTTCTTTTTGGCTTGAACAGCATTTTTACCTTTTCTATAGTAAAAAAGTAAAATATGATGAAATTGCTGTTTATTGCTCTCCATATTTAAAAGGGCAGCAACCAAAAACTATTGCGTAGAATCAATTGGACTTTTTCACACACAAGCCTTGCTATATCAGCTCTCAAAACATATAATGATTATACAGCTTAACTGTGAAGTTAGGTGCAAAAAAAAAAATACAATTAAATCCTCTGTCGGGAAAAAAAACGAAATTACTTTTCGAACAATCCAATATATACAAAATTTATCATTGACATTTTATTTTTATATATATTTTGTATCTATTTATTATTTAGTCTCCATTCCCTGGTGATGATGAAGAAGAAGTATTTGATTCGATAGTAAATGATGAAGTTCGTTACCCAAGATTCCTTTCTTTGGAAGCTATAGCTATAATGAGAAGGGTAGGATAATTGTTTGCAAAAATGATATTTGTAATTTATATGTATATATATATATATTTTTTTTTTTCCTTTTAATTCATTGTATAATTTAAAATTTATTTTATATATAATAGTTGCTCAGAAAGAATCCAGATAGAAGATTAGGTAGCAGCGAAAGAGATGCGGAGGATGTTAAAAAGCAAGCATTCTTTAGGCACATAGCGTGGGATGATTTGTTATTAAGACGCGTGAAACCACCATTTGTACCAGTAATTGTAAGTAATTTCTTTCATAGATATTTTTATATTATATTTTATATAATTCCATAGAGATATATTAATATATATATATATATATATATATATATATATATATATATATATATATATTTCCTTTATATAGCATTCTGTGGAAGATGTTAGTAATTTTGATGAAGAATTTACATCGGAAAAGCCACAGCTCACTCCGCCTAAGGATCCTCGACCTCTCAGCGATATGGAACAGAGTTTTTTCAAAGATTTCACATACATGGCTGATTGGTGCTAACTATAGTAATATGCTATTTTATGTTCTTCCAATAATAGTTCATCTTTATTTGTGCCCAATAATTTAAACAATACTATGTTACATTACATCAAGGTACATAAGAGATAGCAATGATACTGCTTATCATAAGAACGATATATTGTGCTTTATTTTATTTTATTTTTTTGTTTTTTTTTTCGTTTTTTTTTGTTTTTTTTTTGTTTTTTTTTTGTTTTTTTTTTTTTTTTTGTTTTTTTTTTTTTTTGTTTTTTTTTAACAATAATTATTCTGACTAGAAATCAAAACTTCATAAACTTATGATTTACCATTGAATCTCGGATTTTCATCTGAATTATCTAATAGAGAGACATTTTATTTTCTGCCAGACACATATGTGTGGCTATAATATTTTATTTTGTTTGGAATCATCGCGTAAGTTATTAAAATATAATCAATTATTTTGAAAACAGATATGTGAAAGAGAAAACAGAAAAAAAAGAAAAAAAAAAAGAAAAAAAAATTATAGGATTCATAGTAAGACTTGTATTACATGTATATGTTATTAAAAAACATACGTCTAAAAAGAAAAAAAAAAGAAAACAAAAAAAAAAAGAAAAAGAAGTAACCTTCAGAATACTATTGTCAACTATGATAATAATGCAAGAGAGATGTAGATAAATATTATCAACACACGGATCATTTCTTTGCATGTGCATTTTTAATATAAAATTTCCTATTAAGTGCATGAGAATATAAGAAAGAATATTTTACATATAAAATCATATAAGTATCCAACAGACATATTTAAGCACTGATCATTTACGATTGCATTAGAATCACATCTAACACTTTTTGAAAGTAAGATATGCCATTTATAATCACACACTACATATTTTTATTACTATTATTATTATTATTATTATTATTATTTTTATTTTTATTTTTATTATTATTATTATTATTATTATTATTATTATTATTATTATTATTATTATTATTAATAATATAACATTTTTCATTTGTTTACGAATGACTATTTACTTTCAATCGTGGCATGGTGAATATCCATGTTTGACAAAAGTTATCGTTACAATTGTAATATCAAAGATTTTTTCTACATCGATGCAAAGTTAAAAAAAAAAAAAACAAAAAAAACAAAAAAAAAAGGGTTAAAAAAAAAAGCAAAAAAGAAAGAGAAAAGAAAGAAAAAAAAATTTTTACAGTTGTTCATACTCAAGTGATATCGAATTGAAAACAATCGCGAATATGCACAAGATAAATTTTTCAATTGCAAATTAACAACATTCAGTGCTTTAAATATAAAAAGAATGTGGTATCTCACGTTAGCTTATTATTGTTTTGATAGAAAGATGAATTTTAATATTTCTTTTTTTTTTTTTTTATTTTTTTTTTTCCGTTTATGTTAAAATTGACAGCATGATCTGACGGCAAATATTACTTTTGTCCGAAAAACAAAAAAAAAGTGTCACGTGTGTATTGTTTTATATAATCGTATGCTCTATTTGCTCACAATTTATTATATTTTATTTACATATACTCATGTTTAAGGGCATGATAATGTATATGTATGTATTTCATACTTATGCGTTATATCTTTTACGAAACTATTTTTTCAAAGGAGTAGTAAAATATATGATTTATAAGATCATGAGAAGTTAATTCTTTATATATTATTAAAAAAAAAAACAAACAAACAAACAAACAGAAAAAAAGAAAGAAAGAAAGAAAAGAAAATAATAATAATAATAATAATTTCAAGTCCAACTTCTAGTATGTGTATCCTTGAATTATTGTTAATCTTTATTTTTTAATGTAAATTCTTTATATTTTTCAATTATAATTGATTGATAAGTTTATTACAATTTAGTTTTGGGAGTTAATTCGCGTCTTATTTTTAATATTTTTATATAACTTGTATATCGTATGTCATATAAAATAATTTTATGATATATATCATTATGTTAATAATAAAATATTAATTTCATATGAATCTGCCATTTCTATGGCATTTGAAAATTAATATTAATGATACTCTTTGAATTTGTCATACAAAATAGTATTTGTTTTATTATTGTATACTATGATTTTCAATATATTGCGATAATATTACACTTCTATTATAAGTTCATTTTTGATTTACGTTAAATTTTATTTTTTTATGAACCTTTGATAAAAGGTATATTAGAATTGGACTTGACGAATCTAATATGCATTTTGCATACGTACAAGGTTGTTTAAATGAAATTTAAATATGATCATGCGATATCTAATCCTATTAATCATTTTGTTTTTTTTTTCACAATGTTTAAACATATATATATATATATTAATTAAAAAATTAATGTATATCATTATTATTTTATATGAAAAATGATTTTATGATACAGAATTCTGTGATATACTTCAAGATTAAACATACTTACTTTGAAACATTCTCACAGTGTAAATTTTGACATTTAAAACTGATCTTGTAATTATGATTTTTATAAAACAACAATAATAACAACAACAACAACAACAACAAAAAACAAAACAAAACAAAACAAAAAGAAACCATTCGGAGAGATTTATAGCAATATATAAAAAGAAATAATATAACCGAATGACATGTGATAGTTTCGAGTTTTATCTCGAATTTTAGATGCCTTACTGCTCTAATAAAGTAATAACTTGGTATCTATTTTATAATGAAGTCTTGTAAATTATAATCAAACCCTGTTTGTAAGAAGGTGCTCATATCGAAACTGTTGATGTGCCCTGCTGTTGTATAATTCCAAAAAAAATATCTATGGTCTAGCTTTATAACATTTGTAACATCACAACAGAACAAAATCACAGAATTAGTAATATTATATATAAAAATATTATTTCAAATTGGAAACGTTTAATTATAATAATGAAAGAGTAAGTATAAAAGTAGCGCAAAAGAACATCACAAAGGTTTCTATAATATAAGTGCCATGAGCCTAATAATGCATATTGATATAACAATATAATCAGAATGAAAATTTAAAAAATATGAAAACATTTTTAAATCAGAAAGAAGAATAATAAAAAAAATATATGTAATTCATTGTACTCCATCATATATATATATATATATATATATATATATATATATATATATATATGTATATGTATGTATGTATATATATATATATATATATATGATACATAATCATATTTTACTTTGCAGATTTGTACTATGTAATCTTCTTTATTTTTGTTTTTAACTGCCAAAGTAAACGATTTTTAACACAGTAGATTCTCTGCATAATAAAAAAAAAAATTTGTTCTTTTTTTTTTTTTTCTTCATCTATGATTCATGATCGACATATATGAAACATTAATTAAAATGTATTATAAATATAAAATGATTATTTTAATTTCTATATTTTTTTTTTTTTTTTTAACAGTATGCAAACAAAAAATTATATTATTTGCATTTATTATTATATCAAAAATATTGTTTGGAAGTTGTATATAATACATTTATATTTTACAATCATGTAGATAAATTTCGAATCATGAATGAAATGTTTTCAATAGTATATGAGTTTCGGGGTACTCATTTTTTTTTTATATATAAATATATAAGTACATAGTGCTAATAAGATATGAATTAGTAATTTTTTAATTAATACGTCTGCTATAATTTATCATTATGCGTTATAACAGATAAGAATGTGGTATGTGCCTCGTATTTTGTAGAATTTAGAATGTCATAGATAACTGTTATCATAAAATAAGAAACATATAAAGATTTTTAAAAATTTATTTATTTGATACATATATTTACAGTGGCAGCTTATTACATATCATCATAAGTAAATTACGTAATTCTTAGTGATATTCTCTTCAAATTTATGATCTTATATATACGTATAAGCATTACTCGATTCAAGAATAAATTTTTGAAGAATGTATCTCTCATGTTTTTTTGTTTACACACACACACACACACACAAACATACCTTTATTACATATATAATAATTATGTTTTTATATAAATTTCAACTATTTAAACAAATTTATTTTCTTATCATTATATATATGAGCAGTTTATTTTGAAAGTGGCCTAACTCCATTTATCTTCAAATCGAGATATTTAAGGATTTGCGTTTCAATGAATTTAAAAATATACGTATATGATACTAATGAGTCATACTACTTAAGTGTATCTAAGTATGTTAAATTTATAGTTCCTATTAAAATAGTGGCAATTATTTAATGAATAATATGCGTCTTCTTATCAAGAATGGAGTTAGGCCACTTTCAAAATTAACAATCAGATTTATTATAAAATTTGAAGGTGCCCAAGTCCATTCAACATAATTTAAGATGCTTCAAATTGAAAAAAAACAATACTCAATTTATTTTACATATCTTTAAAACACTTCGAAAACATAATTTATGCGATTCAAAACATTTTTTAACTACATAACGTACAAAATTACAAACATAAATTTATTACAAAACAATTTACTACTCATCTAGATTTTATGTATGTGAAAAGGATTTGAAGAAATCATGATGTTCCGGTGGTATATATCGTAATAGGTCAATTATGTCCTTGAATTTTGCTGTTGTACTTTGTCTGATATTTTTATACAGTAATGTCAATACAATATTTTCGAACTTTCTTGATCTACCCCGACGTAGTAATAAATTCAGAACTTTAAAATTTTCATTTTCATTCATTGATTTAAATATAAATGGAGTTAGGCCACTTTCAAAATAGACAGTTAAATTATTGAACTAACTCTGAAAACTTATGTGTCAAGAATTATCTTATTTGCTCGGAATATAAGCAACCTAAAATGCTTTACTGATAAATAAGATAAAGTTGTACATGTAATTATAGCAACCGGAAAAAATTCACAATTGGAGTTAAACCATTTTCAAAATAAACGGCTCATATATTTATATTTAATTATTCAAAAATTTGAAAAATATTTTAATATTTCAAATTAGATTTCTATTATAGACGTTTCAGAATTTGTTTCATTTTTACTTTCACTACACGATTGAAGATCATTATCTCGAGGATTTATAGATTTAGCTAATTCGTATAAATTAGATGTATTTTTTTTAATATTTCTTTCTAACGTTATCCTTTTATCTTCTTTTTCTTTTAATCGTTTTCTTAATGAAGGTGATAAAGGTTTTATAAGACCTGCACTTGCTCTATAAAAGACACTAGTACTATCCGTAGATTTAAATACAAATATTATTCTGAAATTATATAATTTCATTATTTGATATAAATTTATATTTATTTTATTATTTAAAATTTTAATTTATAATTTGTATCATATATTTCGATGTAATATTATGAAAAGAAATATTTTTATTCTTACCTATTAGTTTCAAGTGACTTCTGTATTTTTTCAATGAGATCTATAGTGATCGAAGATGATACAGACCATGGTATGTAAATTTCAAGATTCGAATTTTTATTTTGTTTTGTTTCTAAATAAAGTAAATCCAATTCTTCGTTATATTTATATTCAATGTGCCAAAATCTTTTACCTGTAATATATATATATATATATATCTCTATTAAGATATTTCATAAAATTAACAATTGTATATTTATTTTTACCTTCGCATAATTGCATATATATATAAAATGTATTTGAAATTTTTATAGGATCGTTGCAACCTAATTTTCCAATATAATAAAACTAAAAGAAAAATATAGAAAATATTAAATATTTATAATGAAATATATAATATACATAATTATATTTCATAAATGAATTTGATAAATTTGAATGGATAAACTTACACTAGGATGACATATATCGTACATGCTTGTAATTCTTATTTTTCTTATTTTATTTATTTTTTGTCAATTTTATTTTTTTTAATTCTAAAAAGATATATATATATATATATATATATATATGTGTGTGTATAAATTATAATTTATATTATAAAATTTTTTGACATTGTACTATTATTTGTTTCAAGTATTAACATCAATATATAGAACATAATAAATTTAATAACTTCTACAATATATTGATTAATTATAAACACAAAAATAAATATAAATCATTATATATATATATATTGATCAATATATATTAAACTATTAGATAGATATAATAAAATATGATTATATAATAGATATTTAGATTAAAACTATTGGATTGTTTTAATAGTTTTGATAAATTTACTTGGTAGTTTCTGATAAATGTTTTAGGTAAACTTAACCTATGATTAATCAAAAATATACTGTTGTGTTTTTATTATTATACTTTTGGAGTTTGTTAATAGATTGCGCTACAAGTATATTGTACAATCAATTCAAACTATTACTTTTGCAAATTGCAGATTTCTACTTTATTAACTTAAAGAAATTTGTATAAATGTATATCTACAGTTGTTAATGTAGGTTACTTATTGTCTGATAGGTAAAATATTTTCCAACGTTCGATAAAGCAGGAATCTGCCTATATATACATATATTGTATTCATTCAGAGTGATGTACAAATGAGATATTTTTATTTTTGTTTACATCTTTCACTGCCATACGTGTAAACTCATACGTCTAACATTTCTAAATTTTATTTATTCTATAAGTAATTTATTAGTTTGACTAGTAATCTCAAGGTTACAGAAATGGTATTTCCTGAATTTGTTTTTTTATGAGCTATTATTATAACAAAAATATACTATTCCATTAGAAACATTTTGATATTACATAACAATGACCTTGAAAAAGAAATAATTTTTATATCATTTTTATTCAGTTTATCGAACGATACAATTTCATTCTGATACATATTTCTGTATAATTAAAAACAATAGTCAAATTAAATTGAACATTTTGTATACAGTTATACTGATTAATACAATTGTTATTAATCAGATGAGATATTTTTCATTGGTGATTTTTTTTTTTAAATTAAATAATTCTTCTAAAAGATTTAATATGAAATAACAAATTTAATTATTTACAAATTTTTAAATGTTTCATGTAATAAAACATAATATAATCTGTTCATGAAATATAAAATAAAATGTTCTTTTGAAATATAAATTACATATTATTAAATAATTATAAATAATCGTTCGTACTAACAAGTGAAATTATATAGAATATGATTCAATTATTATTATTATGGCTAATTAAAATATCCTTTCATTCATGATTTATTATTTTTTTAAATGTAATGATTCCTCTAAAAGATTTCATATGAAATTGCATATGTTAATTTATGAAAAAAATTTTTTAAATCTTTTACGCCCTTGAAACATTAATTTTCAAAATTCAACATATCCAGATGCTAATTAATTCATCAAATTTAAATATATGTACATTCGTACAAGATCATTTGTATTATAAAATCAGAAAGAAAAAAGGAATAAGAAGAAGAAGAAAAGAAAAAAAAAAATAACGTTAATATGAAATTTGATTACAAATTTATCAAAAAAAGTTGTGAAAATCTTTTATGCATCTGAAACAAAAATTATCTTTCGAAATAAAACATACCGAGGTATTAATTAATTTATCCAGGATCGTTTGTGCACTGAAAAATGAGAGAGAGAGAGAGAGAGAGAGAGAGAGAAAGCAGGAAAAAACCAATAAGAAGAAGAAGAAGAAGAAGAAAAAGAAGAGGAAGATGAGGAAGAAGATGGAAGAAGATGGAAGAAAAAGGAAAAAAGAAAGAAAAAAAAAGAAAGAGAGAGAAAAGAAAAAAGTTAACGTTACCCGGTATTATGCAACTAGATTTATAAGATCCATGCATAGAATGGGTAAAAGGGATGGTCGCGCGAGTCGCATATAAATTGCAGTGTGGTCGCGCGTCATCGAGATAATACAGAAAAATGGCTTTCGCCATAGGATGAAGTCGTTGCTCTTTCTCTCTCTCTCTTTCCCTCTCTCTCTCTCTCTTTCTTTCTCACGTGTCGGTGTGTTCTTAACCAAACGGAACATCCATCGTGTTTTACCTTTCTTCCTTGTGCAAGTTTGTCGCCGGTTTTCTCTTCCTCGAACATTGATGATGGGCGAGAGGTAGGTGGGGGGGGGGGAGGGAGAGAGTAGGGTAGGGAGGTAGGTGGAAACATTCGTTAAAAGAGATAACGAATCTCCAGTGAATCTGTCCGTAGCTTCTGCCTCAGGATTATTTATTTGGTCGATCATTAAATCGTTCGTTTGTATTTATATCATATAAGATCTAATATTTGCATTGAAATTGTAAATGATCTATGATCTATGTTATATCGGATTGATTAATAACTATTGCGTTTTAATCGTGAATACATTAATATAGATATATTTTATTACTAGGATACAATATGGAATATATTGTATCTTTGTGAAAAATGTTATAACTTTATTAGAAACGATATTAGTATAAAAATAATAGTATAGTATAGTATATAATAGTATGTATCTAGGATTGACTATGTTATGTAGGGATTATTTTTTTTTTTATAATTTTGTTCGTTGTAGTGATTTTTTTTTTCTTTTTTTTTTCCTTTTTCTTTTTTTTTTTGGTATTTTTTATTTAAGTAATAAAACAACAAGAATAAATGAATAAGCAAATGATAAATTACGTCGGAATTTTTTTTTATACTTAGCATTAAAATAAAGAAAAAACAATTGAATAAATAACATTAATATAACGAGAATAATATTGTATAGTTATTAGAATTTTTCATATAAATTATATATATATATATATATATATATATATATATATATATATGTTAGTATAATTTTAAATATGATATATTGTGTTATATAATGTTATATATTTAAATGTTAATGTATTGAAAATGATAAAATTTGAATTCTATCATTAGGATCTTATTGAAATTTCCAAAATTTCATTTTAGAAACGATTACGTACATTCGAAATTTTTAACATTACAACATTTTTAAACGAACGACTTTCACTTAACATATTTAAGTGACCTAAATGAAAAATTTAAATAGTCATTTAATTCCATATAGTATAATCAATCAATACACCGATAAAATACGCGATAAGCGAAAAAATATTCCAACATCGGCATCGGCTTTTATTTTATTAAATATTTATAATGTATATGTAATGTCAAAAATTTTTTTCTACGTTGGAGATATATTTTCAATGAACGTGTGTATTTGTATCTCAGATAACAAAATTATTAGTCCGTATTTGAAAATCAAATAATTTCATCGAATAGTCGTACTTCGATTGAAGAACTTTGATTTATCGAAATTATTTAATTTTTGATTTATCGAAACTATCTCACACGCGTCTTCGATACGACAGTTTTTTCTTTTTTTTCTTTTGGCAAATTATTTTTGACGTATAATTTTTCTCCACGTTAAAATACAAAATATATCGAAAATTCATCGAAATTAGCTTAATTGGGAGAATTTGTTGCAACGCGTACGATCAAATTAC